TTATTCTATGTGTATGAGTGTATTGCCTGCATGTATGTGAGTGCACCCGTGTCGTGCAATGCTATGGAGGTCAGAAGAGGGCTTTGGATTCCCTGGAACTGGAGTTAAGGACGGTTCATAGCTGCCATGTGGGTGCTGGGAATCGAACCTGCGTCCTCAGTGCTCTTAACCGCTGAGCCATCCTACCATGTCTTTGAGATAGCAGCTCTCACTGATGCTGCGGCTTGCTGATTTGGCTAGACTGGCTGGCCAGCAAGCCCCTGGGATCTGCATTTGTCTGCCCCCCAACCCCACTCCAACTCTTGGGTTACAGATGCATGTTGCCACACCCAGCTTTTATGTAACTGCTAAGGATCAGAACTCAGGATCTCATACTTGCACAGCAGCACCACCTACTGAGCTATCTCCCCAGGCCACTACTGTCATTTTTAAGTTATATCTTCTAAAAATTCTTTTTATATTTGTGAAGATTACGTGTTTCTGATTTTTTTCCACCCAATCCATTTACTGATTTCTCCCTACTAATCATAATTGATTTACTTTATTATCAATATTGGTTTATTTGTTGGGGAAGGGGTATGAGTGCCTGCCACAATAAGTACATGGAAATTAGGAGTTGGTACTCTCCTCCTGACATGTGTCCTAGGTGTTGAACTTTTAAGTGGTCAGTGTTTGTAGTCTGTGCTTTTATCCACTGAGCCATCTCACCAGCTTCATAATTGACTTTTAAAGGTTTATTTTTATTCATGCATATGAGTGTTTGCCTGCATGTATGTTTGTGCACATGTGTGCCTGGTGCCTGCAGAGGCTAGAAAAGGGTGTCAGGTCCCCTAGAATGGGAGTTAACAGAGAGTGGTTAGCCACCACGTAAGTATTAGAAACCAAACCTGGGTCCTCTTCAAGAAGGACCTCTTAACCACTGAGCCACCTCTCCCCATAACTGATTTCCAGCTGGGTGTGGTGGCTCATGCCTTTAACCCCAGCACACAGGAGGCCGAGGCAGAGGCAGAGGCAGGCGGATCTCTGTGAGTTCAAGGCAGGCCTGGTCTACATAGTGAGTTCCAGGTCAGCTTGGACTAGGAAGACCCCATGTCAAGAAGACCAAAATAAATTAATTAAATAAATAAATAAATAAATAAATCAAACAAATAAGTAAAGCTGATTTCCAGTAATAAAATCATGTCCATCTGAGAGAAGGTAATGTAAAAACTAGTGAGTAGGCTTCTTGTCTTCCACCTCCCCCTGATCAGGCAGGCCTGGATGAGGGTGTGAGCTTTAAAGAGCATAATGTAGAGACCCACGTGTGATCTTTCTAGGGGGAAAAATGGCTCTTGTACAGATGATTTCAATTAGTAATGCACCAATAAAGGAAATTACAAGCAGTGAGCGTCCTTCCCCACAGGTCAGCTGTTCTCTTACGCTAGCCAGGCTTAAGTTTCTTATTTTAAAAACATATACTTTTTTCTACTTTATAACAACATACAGATAGAAGGAACAGGTAAATGAAAAATAAAAAGTTGATCCACTTAAGCCACATCCCCAGAAATAATCACTTTTATTTCCTAATGGCCTATGTATACTTACATACAAAATTTTTATTACTAAGTTTATTATATTTGTTATTTTTTATATAAATGTTATACAACAAATACTACTTAAAATGTGTTTTGTCTTAAAAGTACAGTCAACAACTTTCTACAGAAGCACACTATAGCTAGAATAACCTTCCTGTATGTGGCATAATTTGCCAGATCAAAACTGTAATGTTTAGTGTTGAGACTATTAACAAAGATCTGTCTGTTACTTCCAGCTGCCTGAGTCCTCACCTCAGTATGAAGCTATAGGAAGTTGGTTGTTTTCAGTCACCTGCTAGCATTTAGCTATTCTGTAACTTTTTGCACTAATCTTTTTTTTGCTGGGGGGGGCTCTTTTTAAGAAAGGGTCTCCCTGTAGCCCCAGTGGCTGTCCTGGAACTCACTATGTAGACCAGGCTGGCCTCAAACTCACAAAGATCCG